ACATTTATACAGTCAATGTAAGGCACTGAGAGCTCAAATTCTGATATATCTCATCCAATTATTGATTGGGGCAAACTTCAGTTCTGTACCTGAATGATCATACATTGATTGACAGAAGTTTTATAAGCATCTGAAGCTTTCTGAAGATGGAAAGCACTGCATAAATATATCTAATTACAATTTCAACTGTAATTAGAGTTGTTGCTTTTGTGATAGTATACTTTTTTTTCTCTAGCTTGCAGGTTTTGCATTGTAAACAAAAAGCTTTCTTTTATGTGTTTTGCTTATGATTCCATACTAAATTATTGAAATAATTGTGCTGATGGAAGTAAAAAAAAAATTGAACTTGTGTCTGTTTGCAGAGAAATAGATGCTGCAAGGACACCTTTAAGTGAAGCAGAATTTGAAGAAATTATGAATAGAAATAGGGCTATCTCTAGCAGTGCCATTTCAAGAGCTGTATCAGATGCAAGCGCTGGTCAGTATATTTAATTTAGTGACTTTATTTATTTATTTATTCGTTCAATTTATACAGCCTCCCATCTCAGACCAGTGACTCTTGTTCTATAATCTATATTTACACGTGAGTCAGAGATGTACTGGAAAAAAATAAATATGTATAGGAAATAGAGCTTTCTGGTCAATTTATTATAAACTTAAAGTCATTTATTGCTTACTGCTATGCTTATCTAAAGGACTGTTTCCTCCTATATGAACTGGGACATCAAATTCATCTGGAGAAGTAATTTTTGTGGCTTTATTTTCTTACATATAACTTCCAAGGGCAAGGAAGTGAGGCTTTTCTTCTGAAGCACCAAGGGAGTGTAATTCTATGCCATAGACTTGACGTTTGGCCCCTCTATTAGTGTTTCAGTTCTGATTGAAACTATCCTTTCAGAAAGCATTTAACAGTATCTGCTACTTTAATTTTTTTTCATTATTTTTACCTAATTTTAAAGCTTTACCAGTTGTTCACTTCATAAATTCTTTTAATTTTTAATTATGAAATGCTTTTTGGATTTTTAAATGTTTTGCTTTTAGCAAAACAAAAGAAAGTAATAATTAAAAGAAAGAAAGCAATATAATAGCAACAAAATTGGCATTATATATAAAATGGCTTTTCATATGTGTCTGCATGCAAGTTGAAATTTTTTTTACATAACAGTTTCCATAAAGGATAGCCATACTTCATTGTAATTGTTCATATGTAATCTACATCTGTAAAGTGTAAACTATAATTCATAAATTGCAAGTAACATCAGCTCTTTAATCCACTGAGTAATCTGATTCTTTTTGGAATAGTAGAGGTGGCACATATCTAATAATGTTGCTTAATTTATACAAAGTGTGGATAAGAAAATCTGTGTATTGTATAATGCCAGATTGAAGGGAGAGGGAGAGTGGACTCATATCATAGGGCATATATGATGGTATGCTTTTCTAAAAAATATTTTTATTCAGAGACTATTAATGCCAGGAGGAATAGGAGAGTGGAATCTTTTTCCCTAGTCTTTAATTGTGTTTTTTTAAGTGGTGGACTTAAATCTTATGATTGAATCTTACTCATTCATGTTAAGGTCTAGTTTATAATCTGAGGTGGTATATTTGATATTTGTATCATGTTAATCTCAGTTAATGCATTTTGGAAGAGGAGTAGAAAATATTTGGACAATAGGGTTTTTTTTTTATATTAAGCAAACATATTTTTTAGACACCTTTTTATCTCTCGCATTTTTTTAGACACCTTTTTATCTCTTCTTACTCATTCATGTTAAGGTCTAGTTTATAATCTGAGGTGGTATATTTGATATTTGTATCATGTTAATCTCAGTTAATGCATTTTGGAAGAGGAGTAGAAAATATTTGGACAATAGGGTTTTTTTTTTATATTAAGCAAACATATCTGTTCACCCACTTTTTATTTTCCAGCGGAATATGGAAGTGCTATAGAAACCTTGGTGACTGCAATTTCATTAATTAAACAGTCCAAAGTATCTGCAGATGATCGCTGCAAAGTACTTATTAGCTCTCTGCAAGATTGTCTTCATGGAATTGAATCAAAGTCTTATGGTTCTGGGTCAAGGTAAACCTTTCATGTAAAAATCTTGACTAAAGTTTAAATTTTAGTAGGACAAGAAGATATCTGAATAAGTGGTATGGTTTTTAGACACCTTTTTATCTCTCGCATTCAATGTTTTGGTTAGGAAAATATAAAATTTGAAAATTCATTTCTAATCATGCCATATGCACATTCTATTCAATGCTGTATCAAGTCTATTTAAACTACTGTAAATATACATTTTAGAATGGAACTAAAATTATAAAATTTGGTGATGAAGTTTTAGAGTAGGAATTAAGAAAATATTTTTGGAACACCAGTTAGCTCTGAAGTGAACCCATTTGAAAGAGATGCACTGTTCTTTCAACATTAGTACGAAGAGAATACACAAGATAGGAAAAATATTGTGTTCTTGAGTTTTGCTAGACTGTTTTACCTCAGCCATACTTCAGCAGAACCAAAAAAACCCATAACACTTTGGTTCTTGCAGATTTTGGATGAGATAAAATATGCATGGGCAAGTAAGGCAAGGCTGGTATACATTCCTCTTCTCTCCCCTTTTTAGCATAGCACTGCATGTATCATTGGTCCACCTTAGCATCCTAGCACCTTCCCTAGCCTTCTGCCTCTCAGCTGTTGCTGCTGACCCACCAGCCTGCAAAAACCCCTGGTTTATTCTATGCATGGAGTAAAATAGCCCTGTTTCATTCTGTGGATGGACCAAAACATAGTAAGAAGCATGTTTTGATTCAGGCATGGACGATCCAGAACCACCTCTTTCATGCATCAAGCTTTTTGTGCCCAGAACATTTTGCATATTCCTAATTAGTACTACAAAATTCTACCCTGCCTTTTCTCCTCCATAGTAACACAGTTATTCCTTGCACTTAAAATAAGAAAGCATTTTTTATAACTTAAGTAGGGCTAGTAAAACACATTAATCATACTTAGTTGTACTGTGACAAGGTTCTCCTTATTCAAGGTCTTTAACAGATTTTAGATTTATTGTTACAAGATATATAAGTGATTTGAGAGAATTAAGGAAGTAATTTCTTTTAGAAGACGTGAACGGTCAAGGGAGAGAGACCATAGTAGGTCAAGGGAGAAAAGCCGACGCCATAAATCTCGTAGCAGAGATCGCCATGATGATTATTACCGGGAAAGAAGCCGTGAACGCGAGAGGCATCGTGACCGTGATAGAGACCGCGATAGAGAGCGTGATAGAGAACGAGAATATCGTCATCGTTAAGAGGTGAGCAGATTTGTTCCTCGATTATGAGTTTACTACTCTTGAAATAATTTAATAAATATATATTCTTGAATTGTGTAGCAATATGCTGTACTGAACACATTTCTCACTGTGAGGTATGGTCAGGTAAGCATGAGTGTGGTATCTCCAACCATTTCTTCCCTTTCCCTCCACTGCTAATTGCATGAATTTCTTTTTGGATATGATATGCGCTTTTTGTTGTCTTATTTTAGTAGCAGTTAATTGCCACATAGCCAATTCATATCTGTAGGATCTAGTTGACTCTGTTATTACACGTCCTCTGCATAAATATTCGCAAAAAAGAGAACAACATGAGTTTTTCTTTAGGATTTGAGGAGCCAGTTTTGGAATAGTCTTGCTTTTTAACTACAGATTTTTAAAATATTATTTACAAAATTCTCATTTAGTAATAGGAAGCTCAACTTGAAACTAGGAGGTTTCAAGAAACAACAGCTATTGCAGTCAGTTGTTGCTAATTTTGAAGCATCGTCTAGCACTGCGTCCTCTGAGTCACTGCATTATCTGGATATGCTTTAAGAGCTTAACTGTTGATCACATTGGTTTCCACTTGAAGCCTTTTGAAACCACTGGGTTCATTCATAGATTTGAGCATTAGGCCTTATCTTTTGAAAAAAAACATACCTAGTGGAAGTCAAGTTGCAGACACAGTGAAAGTTTTTAGAACTTAAATTTCTACATCTTTCAAGTTCTGTTTGACTACCCTGTTTAAATGTTGATTAACTAAAAATAGATGTTGATTAATGCAGTACTTTCTAAACATTAGAAATTCTGAAAAACTGTGATATATTTTGTTATATTAGTTATTACTACAAAAGCTTTGTATAGAATTCCTGATTTTTCTTTTCAGTATGAGGTGTTTTTCTTAATTACAATAGTTGATATAACTTTCTCATTTTTTAATAGACCTCTTTATAGCCTAGAGAGTAGTGAGATTCTAGTTCAATGTATCAATACAATTCCATCTATGCAATCATAAGGGTTGCTGTTTTTATTTGACAACTTGCTGTCTCTGGCTATTTTTCCATTCTAGGTAAACCTTGCATGCTTTTTTCACACCAAGGAAATATACAGTGGTCTTTAATATAATTCATAGTTTCTGATTTATTTTTTTTTAAGTAGGGTAGAGTATAGTCAACAATGTCACATTTAAGATGGGCTTAATACTTGGTTTCCAAAGATTGATGCTTTCTAATTTTTTAGTTCCAATAGATTAGATGACAGTAGGCTACTTTTTTGGTACCACTTTCTTTAAGAAATTATTATCATTCCTTTAAGACTCTAGTTGTATCAGTTTATTGCCTTTTCTTTAAGCCTGAAAATTTATTTGAACGTGCTGCCAACAGTAAAAAATTATTTGAAGTTTGTCATTAGAGATTTGTTATGTACCATTTTTATCTTATAGCAATTGACATTTATTTCCTGGCTTCCAGATTTTTTTTTCAGATATCTAGTAAAGACTGTTTACTTCTGTAGGCATAGCTGTTTAACATGTTACATACTGATGAAGTACAGCATATTGAATATGAACAGGTGTTGTCACACATTATATCAGGTATCTTTTTGAGTTTCAGAATTTTTTGCACTTGTCACATGGGATTTATCATGAACTTTTACAAGAATAATAACAAGCACACTCAATACAAAATGAAAAATGTATTAGATTTTCTTATTACAGATTGTCCTCTTAACCTTTTCTGAGTAGATGGCACCTAATATTTATTGTAGACCTGCATGCTCTGCTTATTTAATTTTATCTGCAAGATCTGTTTCTTTTGTAGGATGTTTACAAATGTTTGTTATTTGCAAGTAAGAATTACATTTACAGCTGACTTTCAGTGAGCCGTATTCCTCACTTGATAACCCTGCAATATCTTTCTCAATTTGTTCAATTTTTTTTATGGAAGGTTATGTGGGCAATGCAGGTTTTCAATCCAAAATACTTGTAGTACTTCTTTCAAGTATAAAAGTTCCAGGAATTTACTATACAGCAGTAGGATTATCTTCCAGCCTTATTTATTAATGCTTAGTATTTTACTAAATGATACAGGGGCCAGTATGGCCAGTGAAGGGGGCTTTGTATGTGTTGAGGGGAGATTTGGGGGCCAGTAGTTAGGTATTTTAGTATCTTAGTGCAGTGACTGGTTCCAGTGATTGTACAAACACAATTTGAATGTTTCATAGGGAATCAGTCATTATAGTTTTCCTATTCATTTTATAAATGTAAGAGCGGTTTCCTTTTATGCATGTTTATCAGTGAAAATATGTATCTGTCAATGATGGGAAGAGAACAAAATCCTCTTCTTATCTTAGATGAACATATCCCCAAATTCCAGAGGGTGATATATTATCAGGATCTGCCAGATGATGTTGGACTCCAATTTTTATCAGATATTATAGGAGTTGTACTCTTGTCAGCATTTGGAAGGCCACATTATTTCTATTTGTGTCAAAGTGAAAGAAAAATATCTTAAATATCACATTTATTGAGGCAGAAGTTTTCAGGGGCTTAATAATGCATTTAGAAGTTACAGTTAATATCCAGCTAATCTATCCATGTCACCATCCTCCTAATTTAAACAGTGTCTGAAAGGGTGATTACCTTGAATTAATCCTGAGATGCATGTTTCTTAATAAATATAATTATGTTGCACATATCAGTTAAAGAATATTGAATATACCCTAGCTGTTTTATATAAAAGGCTTGATGTTAAAAGCCTAGTAAGTTCTATCTGTTCTATTACAAATGCCCAGTGTGGTTTTGAACTTCTTTTTCTTGCTCAGCTATCTCCATCCCATTTAAGACACCTATTGTTGATAAGTGGAAAGAGGTACAACTCCATTGGCTTCTGGCCTAGTTGTCAGATAATAGGAAATTAAAAAGGGTTTTACGTGTAAGTACGTAATACTTTGGCCTTCGCTGTTATATCTTATTAAAACATTTTGAATAGATGTAGAGTGATCCTTGCACTTGTAATTCAGACTGGAGAAAATTTGTTTGAAATGATAATTTGCTTTTATATCCTTGGAATTTCATTGTTTACATGAAGCTGGTGTTCCAGTTTACAGAATCTTTTCAGTTACACAGTTTCAATACAGTAAGTTCAAACTTTATAATGAGTTTAAGTATTAATCAGAATATAAATGATATGATTTCCCCTTATACTTACAATAAAAATCTTCTGGATTTCACAGTTTGAAATAATAGAATGTAATTATATTTAAAAATAAATTCTAGAAATATGAAATATATTACTATATAATTTATAATCTAACCATAAAATATAATATCCCAGTCTTTCACTTTACAGTTCTTAGGAGGAATTTGAATGAAGATTTGAATTTGGGGTTTTGAAAGGCACTGGGAAATTTACATAAAAGTAGTTACATCTTCTCAATTATGAAAATAAGCAGCACTTGCCATTGTGAGACAGAATAAAATGTCTGCTGCAAGGAGAGATACAAATAGAGTTCTGTGTATTAATCATATCACTCAAAGCAATCTGTTCTGAAAGTTATCTTTGGTTTCTCTGAAGTAAAACCCATTTTTATTTTTTAAAGATTCATGTTTTGGGCACAGTTCTGAATCTGATATAATTATACCATCTGTGTTGTATGAAGGTACCAGAGCTTTGATATAAAGGAAGATGGTTGAGGGAACAAAGTCATAATCTGTGTTGATTATAGAATGAGCCAAGCATTCCTCTCAAAGTTTAAATTATGCAGTATTTTTGTGACTGATGATACCTCCCATCTACGTTGACATGTTGTCCATCTAAAACTCCAGTTTATTATCCAAAGAGTATTTTGAAGGATAAATGATATAGTTTTAAATCTCAATTTTTACCTACATCTTTGTTTTTATTAAGCTAGATGTTATACATGCCAGCCAGTACATAATCTTAAGTTCTGGATGTGTTCTCTGGTAATTAGTAGTACAACTAGATGTACCTGTAGCATAGTGGTACAATTTTCTTTCAGTTGTTTAATGAATTTGCAATACAAACCTAGAATATATGAAGGATACTGAACATACACATAGTGTATATTTTTAGTGGTTTCCAATAAAATATGTTAATTAGCCATATTAGGTTGTGTCAAATATCTTTTTCATCCCATAAGAGAAAAAATATTTATGAGTTAGGTGGAAGAGCATTGTGCAGGATATTATCCTCAAACCCAGAGGAATTCATGTTTGCATAAGCTCTTCTGTAAATACTTCACCAAAATTCATTATTATGTGGCCTTCTGAAGTTTATACAGTTTACTCAGCCTTATTTTTCTTAGTTTTTATGAGTAATATGAATATATATTGAGTCATACACTGTGAGAACTCTACTGCTCATCTTTGCACAAGAGTTTCTGAAAGTTCAGAAATCTGTTTTCTCTTTCTTCCTATGATTGAATCTAAGATGAAATCACCCACATTTACTACAGCTATAGGAATTATTTGTATTTATGTAGCTCCTCTGAAATCAGATGTAACTTTCCAGCCTTGTTTAGGGGTCAATGAGTGATACATTGAATGATCCAAAATGGATTTTTACGTGGTTTTAATGTGATTAATGAGTTTTTTTTTTAATGTGCCTTGACAATGTACTTCTGCTTACTTGATTATTTTGGATGTTTTCATAAATTTCTGTATTTTTTGTTATGTCTTTTGTAAATTGTCATTATAAAAGTACAAGAAAATTGTGAATATTTCAGACATGTATCTATTTTCTTGTACTTATTTACCAAAAATCCCAGCAATTCATGTGCAAACTGCCAGCAGATCATCATCATATTTGTGTTGGATAATACACATATTTAGATTAAAAGCTGATAGCAAGATGATTATGTAGAAATAATAATCACAATTCCTAAAATTACTTCAAGCATGAAAATTGTAGATTATCTCATGTGATGAGCTACTTACTAATTTTGTGCTTTGTCCTGAATAAGCATTTAAAAATGCAGGAAAT